TATAAATATTAGAAGAAAAGAAAGATACAAAGCTGCTAAAACTATATAGAAAATAATTAAATATCTAGATAAAAGATATGAAAGGTTGACAAAAATTGTTACAAAAAACAAAGTTAAAAAAAACAAATAGAAGAGAACATAGATAAAAGATATAAAATTATTAAAACAGATCAAAAAAAAATGATAGCTAGTTTTTTAAATAAATTTTACAAAAAATAACACTTGCCAAATTTATTAAACAAAAAGAAGAATTGACAAGTTTAATAGTAGAACCAGATTTAGTTAAAACAAGTATAACAGAGCATTACAAAAAACAATTTAGAGAAAGAAACACAAAACTAGAAGAAATATTAAAAAGATGAAAAGAAGTTTACAAGTTACAAGAAAATATTAAAGAGAAATAATATAGAGAAGTTAAAGAAAATATCAAAGAAAAGAAATGTAAAGAGGTGCTAAAAGAACTTAACATAAGAACAGCTTTAGGCAAATTTAGTATAAGCTATATATTAATCAAACAGGTAGATAAAAAAATATAAGAAGTCTTTAAAGCCTTTGCTAATCTTTGATTAGAAATAAAAGAAATACTAACTAAGTAAAAAATTGTACAAGTCTATCCAATACCAAAAAATGTAGAGTAAAAGTATAGTTTAAAAAATATTTATCCAATAACACTAATTAAAATATTCAGAAAAATAATAACAAAGGTAATAACAAAAACTTACCAAAGTGTTTACAAAAAGAAAAATATTCAAAAGACTAAACTATATAGGCCTATTAGAAAATTCAACAAAGCAGCCAGTACATATCCTAAATATGATAATAGAGAAACAAAAAAAAGAACAAAGAAATATGGATACTACTGCAAGATATAAAAAAGGTATTTGATTCAGTCCTATTCAAAAGTCTTGAATTAGCATTACAAAAAGTCAAAATATCTAAAAAAATAATAAAATACATCTTAAATCTTTTTTACAAAAGACAATTAAGAATAATTACAGCTTATAGTCTAACAAAAGAAGTAACAGTAAAGATAGAATAGACCAAAATGAAGTAATATTGCTGTTTGTAATCTCAAAATATCACAGTCATTTAAACTTAACTTATACTTTATTCTATATACATATATTATATTTTTTATTATAGAATATATTTATTAACTTTGTTATATCTTATCTTTATGTTTTATAATATTTACAACTCTATATATATTTTAAACCTTGAAAACTTCTTCTTAGAATTACCTATTTGTCACAGTATTTATACAATATGTCATATATATATTTATGCATTATGGATTACACAAAACCAGTTTTAAAAATAACACAAAATTCTTAACAAGTTAATTGACAAACTACTTAGCTATACATCAACAACAATTAAAAAATCTCAAACTTCTTGTATAGCTTTTAGTCCTCTATTCTCAAATCTTTTAGAATCAAAATTCTATTAGATAATCTTTTTACTTTATATATTTTATACAAATAATATTACTTATACTTACTTATCTGTCATCAATGTCATCAAATCAGTTATCATCTTTATTAGATAATCTGTTCATCTAATCAATTACTATACAGCCTTATAGACATTTTATTACAACATACTTTAAACACTAAAATACTTAATACTATTTTAAATACTATAACCAATTTATATAACCAAATCAAGCTATTGAGTAGTATGATTATTTACAGTATATCAGATTTATTCTTAATCTTTTTAACTCTAATAGGTTTAATACTAAATGAACTTATTAATATTATTACAAGTCTGTTATCCAAAAAAGTAGTTACAATACTTGTTATCAAGTTCTTATTTCATCTTAACCAACAAATTTATTATAAAATCTGGATTTTATATTGTATTTCAAGATCTACAGCTCAAACTTCTGAATATAATATATTTTTAAATACTACTTTACTTTTATCACATTCTCTTCTACTTAACTCTATTAGTTCAAAAATAAACTCCTGATATATCTAATAGATTAAATATTAATCTAACCTTTTATACATAATTATTAATACTCAAATCTAGATAAGCTTTGGCTACTCTAATTAGTTTAGGTTATAGATAAATTAGTCTAAGCTTCTATTCTTTTTATAATATTTTTAAAAGCAGAATTGTATTTTATATAAAATTTTAATTAAATATTCAATAAAGATAAAGGCATGGCCTCACTATTAATATTAAAAAAAAAAAATTTATTTTTATAATTTTAAGTAAATATTTAAAATTTTATTAGCAATATTCTAACTTTAACTAGAATTTTGCTGATGGTTTTATAAATTTTAATTAAACTTTTATTAAAAACATTTTTTACTTAATTTTTTGATTTTTAACTAAAATTTTTTTTTTAATATTAAGGTGACTTCTTGGATTTTTTGATTTTATTAATATATTTTGAAAATATAATTTTGTAAAGAGCTATTACAAAAAGAGAGTACAATTAACTACTTGTATAACTTTTTATATTATTATTTAAAAAGTTTGTTTAATATTTTCTATTAATTGCTATAACTAACTTCTTTGCTTGTATATTTATTTAAACTTTTTGAACCTGTTCTATGTTAACTTTATAAGATCAAGTCTGAATTCTTATCTTAATCTTAAAATATTTTTTATTCTTAAGATAAATCTTTTGAAGCCTATTATATAACTATTTTATAACTAATTTTAGTATTATTATAGTTAAACTAATATTTATAATTAAAATTAATTTTACATTGCTATGCTCTTGCAGAATTCACCTAAACTTCAGTATCTATTTACAGCATATTTTTAGTATTTTAATATACCTCTGTCTTTTCTTTAGATTTCTAATTTAAATAGTTTATATAAGACTATAACCAGTTTATTAATATATTAAGTTAGTTTAATATCTTTTTTTAGTTTTTTTTATTAGAATTCTGATAACCTAATTGGTAGTATCCCTATTCAGAGATTCTTGTCTGTTTAGTTATTCTATATTGGTATCTGTTTTCTAAATCTAATCTTTACAGTAGTGTTATTAAAGATCTATATTATCTTTCTTTTTAGATTTTTTCAAATAGGTTCTTGTTCTTCAATTTTTATAATTTATATAATTACAAGAACTTATTTAGAGTTTGTACTGTCTGATGCCAATTTGCATTCCTTTGTATAACCAGTTATACAAATATCTTATAACTTGCCAATCATGTTGATGTAACTATAATTACAGATATCTTAACCTAATTATTAAAAACAGTTGCCATAACACAAGTAAAAAATTCAAATTTCACCATCTGTAAGTTTTGAACTTATTATCTGTCACTTGAGAGGTTGACAACTTATCTATTTCACTAAGTCACTACACCTCTTTTTAACTAAAATTTTACTAAAAAATATCTTTTATATTTTAATATTAATAGTATTTTCTTTATGACTTATTTCAGTTATAATTTAAATATGTTTTTATTCTTTATTAACACAAATTAGTAAGATTATAATTAAAGTTTTAATAAAATTTATTAATCGATATTTTGATGACAAATTATCTTTTAACTAATACTAACCATAACTGAACTAACTTTAATAAAAATTAGGCTAGTTTTGTTAGCAAAATGACTATTAGTAAGATAATTATTATTATATATGTAAAATTAATATTAATGCAATTATATTTATAAATAAATTTAATAAAATATGTAATATTTTTTCTAACTTTAGCTTCTAAGTTATTAAAACTTTGTTTTGAACTAAACCAAAAAGTTGATCTGAATTAGAGATGAGTTCGGTTATAATTATTCACTATCAATTATAATCAATTTTCTAAATTTTGAATTAATTTTTTCTTTTTGAACTATTAATTATAATTAAATTTTGGTCATACGTACTATCTTGTGAACAAAAAGATACCTTCTCTGAAATTCGGAATGTTAAGTGGTTTAACCACCTGGTTAAAAACATGGTCTATTTAATAGAACTGGCTAGTTTAACTTATTTTGATCACTACTTAACATTCCTATTTCAAAATTAGTCATCAGTTACCGGTCAGTTACTGACCGGTTGTAACCAGATATAATTTTAAACTTCTAAATTTTGGGGAAGGTTCCTGCTTTTTGCTTTTAGGATAGTATGAATAAAATTTAGTTCCAACCAATTTTAATAATAGCCCAAAAAGAAAAGTCATTTTAAAATTTAGTCAATTGATTATAACAGATACGTAGACTGTTAATGTCCCGGACAGACTGAATTGGGCTAGATCAGAACTCAACCTGAAACCGGTCCAATTTTTCATGTGATCTGATCCGAACGGCTGATTCCTATAACTAATGATCGAGAGTTGAACCAAGAATCCGGATTGATAAGTAAAACCGAGGTAAAATCGAATTGAATTCGGATCAATCCAAATTAATCTAACCTGATTAGAAACACTACAAAATGTGTAAAAAAAAAAAAGCTATATATATACTGTATATAAACGGAATATCTTGCACCAAGCTCTGACATGTCTTGCATTATAAAGGCGTTAGCATAATAGTAAAATATAGTCAATCACAGGAAATTGATGTATAACTCGACATAACCATATTACTTTTCATTTGGATTTACCAATCAACATGTAAGATCCGATTTGCGGTTCTATCGCGTTACATTTTTCTGCTATTTTCTTTCATTCATCGTCATGATGCATAATCATCTTAATAATTCTATTGTACAAGTACATACGTAAATATAAAACAAATTAAATTAGGAAAGATAAAACAGTATTTAAAATATTTCTTGATTAATTTGCTTCAATTCGGTCAATTTCAAAGAATTACATATTAAAAATGATTTTTTTATCGTTATCCTTTCGCCTATCTTAAAGTATCTAAATAAGGTTATCAATTATACATGGCCACATGGTTTATTTAGGAGTCACACTGCATCGAGAACACTGCATAAATCTATAAATACTTCACTAATTTTAGACTCTAGTATTTATCAAATACTTTTTAACTTAAACTCTCTTCATTATCGAATATTTTTTTAAAATGAAAATAACAAAAATTCATAAAGACCTTTCTATTAACCTTCATTTTTCACTTCCTCCGAGTAATGCTTTAATTAAGTTGACAATTCATGTGAAAAAAGATCGTTTGCTACTGGATGCTGTCAGACGCTTTATGAATAGTAATAATATACCATGTTATTTGGAAAATTCCGTTCTTTCGGTTGTTGAAACTTTGATCGAAGAAAGTTGGAGAAGAGATATAGAAAAGGCTTCTAAAAGTATATCAATTCGATAGCTGAATATTATAAATTTAAGTTGTTCATGAACTTGAATTCATCTTAATTCTGATAACTAGTTGAAGATGAGATGAATGCTGAAAAGGTTCGAGAAGCAATCGTGACAAAATATAAAAAACATACTGTACAATATAATGACGCCCCAGCTGAAGTAATCACTTTTATTTATTTATTTGATCTCATTCAATTCCTATCACTTATCAACTTCATTATTAATCTTTAGGATATATTCCCTAAAGCTTATAACACTCTTGTTCACTCTCCTGTACCGTCAATCTTTGATACTCTTTTACAATTGGAACAAAGTTATAATAATGCTGTTAAGAATATGGTTACATCTCATAAAATAGAAATGGGATGCATGCGTGAAAGGTATTTTAGTTTTTTCATTGACCATATGGATATTTTTAATGTTTTAATTTTTAGTTTGATTTAATTCTTTACCTTTTATTAAATGTAAGACATCAAAAAGAATTGGAACATACTGGTATTGGACCCAGTCAAAATGGTTTCTCTTATATGTCTGAAAGACAAACCGAGGTATGCTTTGAATTTTTAATTTGTAATACTGGTATGTATAAGATTCGCAATTAAGTATTTATTCGTTTTTATCTAAATTTTTATCCAGGATATTGAATATAGTCAAGCCGCCCTGGAAAGCGGACTCGATGAAATAAAAAAATCCCAAAAACAAGAATATTGTGAATTTGTTATCAAACTTTATAATGCTCATCAGCGTTGGATAATTGAACATCAATCAACTATGGAGATGTACCGGATTGATGGAAAAGAAATTGTTTCCGAAGTTATTGCAGATATGAAAAAGCATTACAAACATCTATCAAATGAAATTTTAAAACTTGATCAAGGTAGTAGACCACGTAGTCGACATGGCAGTATTAGTTCATTGACAGATGTGATGCTCTCCCCAACTTTGATGACACCAACCTCTCCATTGTTTCCTACCTCAAGCGATGATAAGAAACCCGCAAAGGTATATGTTTATTTATTTATTTGGGATTTGCATCATTGAATTTTTATGAATTATTACACTTTTTTAATTTTTCTTGCCAATTTTTAAATAGGAAGAGGATCCTTCAACGATACAAATGATAAATGATCTTACAGAGATGGGTTTTGACGATAAACAAGCAAGAATAGCTCTTGATATGACTGGTGGAAATAAGGTAACAGAATAATTAATGAAATAATTTCAAAACAAGTTCTAATGTTGATTATTTTATTAGGAACACGCGGCCATTCTTCTTATAGAACAATTGGATAAGATTAATGCTCAAATTGCCAATGGAATCAATGGGATTCCAATAATACCACGACGCCCTTCAACACCAAGTAATAGCTCTTCTGACCACAAAGAACAATCTGGTTCTCTTTCACTTCGACGTCCGAAAAATCGTCGTCCTTTAACTATATTAACAAAACAAGAAAAAAGAAATACATGGTCTCCTATATCCTTTTTTCAACAAAAAAACGGGAATACTCCAGGTACACCAACAAAAAGATTTAGCGGATGGCTAGGAAGAAAAGATGATGCTAATGGGTATGTTTAATAAATTACTAATATTTCTACCGCCGAAAGTTACTGTCTTTGACTAATGATTTGTTTTTTATGTAGCAATGTTCCAATGATGCATTCTGATAACTCTCAACTTGGTGAATCTTTTACAATTTCCCTAGGAAACCAAGTGAAATCAACACATAATCTTAGATTATTGGTATCTGATGTGGATGATTTGCTAAAATCCTCAAATGACCAGCTAAAAGAAATTGCGCATAGAGCTCAAACTGCAGCAAATTTATATTCACAAGACTTGGCAGCAATTGTCTTACTTCTGACTCCTCAAGATTGGCCTACTTATAAGTTTGGGAAGGGTGCTAATAAAGGTTTATTTTATTCTGATTATTATGATAATTGAAGCCGTTATTAAAACTATAAAAAATTGATCTTGTATTATCTTGTACTAATCATAAAATAGCATTCTTTGAAAGGTGTAAAGAGTCAACAGAATTTCATTTTGATGATGTCGAAACACAACTTGAAGCTATTGAGAAGGACTTTACAAATGATCGAGGGGTTTCATCTATAAAAGAAGGTCAATATATTAATTTTTTTTAAAAAAATGAATATAATGTATTAACAAATTATTATTACAGGCGACTTTTTTATCACAAGACATTCCAACTTACCCATGTTTCAGGTCATATTTCATCTAGTTATTGACTTTGAATGTAAGTTGTCTTTAAACTATTTGAGGCTTTAAACTTTTAGTTATTTATATGTTTTACTCTTGATTTATAATATATAAAGCAATGGAAAGCACACATCTAGCACAATGTACAGAAGCTATAAATGGCCTTCGTAATATTCTACGCACCGTAGAGAGATTCGATATTACAAATATATCATTACCATTTCTTTTGCTACCTTCAAACATTGACTGTTTTTCTGATCCATTGTTTGATGATAAAGAAAATGATTTGTGTAAAAGAGGTGAGTTGGTACTAAAATGTGCAAAAGGATTCATGATGAAGAATTCCAGAGTACCAAAACATATGACTGTTAAAGAGCAAGAGACAAAGACTGTTTCGTTCTTATTGCCAAAGGGTGCAAGTGAACAACAGTTTAATTCATTCAGGATGTTGTTAACTTCTATATTCAGAGCTAACTAGAATCTGGTATTTAGTTAGTTCTGGTTATATTTTTTTAATTTTTGAGAATGTATCAGTATGTAATTTAGTAATTTATGTGTTGATATGTATATTGGTGTTTCTGTAACTAATTTTTATAGAAAAATGTAGAATATTTAAAGATTTATGTAATGAGATTATAGAATAGAATTGGGTTTCTAATTTCTTTGTTAATAGACTTTTTCCTTTTTTCTGTAATAATTTATGATTCAGAAAACTTTATTAAAATTTTATTAAACTTGTTCTTTTTTATAATTAAATATGAAAAAAAGAAAGCAGCATTTGTAATTTAAAAAAAAACAGTTGTACTTGCTTGCTGATCCTAAACCTCAAAAAAACCTTTGTTATTTCTATAAAAAAATGGTTTCGATACTTTGCAAATGTACATATTTTATATAAGGAATATCTTATTTGTTTCGATAAATATTATTGATAAAGTTTTTGCGATATTAGTTTGGTCAAAGTTTGTGACAAGTATAAAAACAGCAGTTGATATAATTTATATTGTGCTGTATACACTTCCATCAAGTTCGACTGTATTTACTTTGGTTTTAAAGAGGTTCTTTCACGATAATCACCCAACAGTAAGTCTTTTTTGTTTTTTAACAGTTATCGCATCTACCATCCAGAATACAATAGATTGATTCTACGTTTTAATTAGTTGTACTATAAATTTCTAAAAAAATTAATACATCAAATTCTTTTTTTATGTAGAACGAATTATTACTGTATATAAAACTTTTAAGTTATATTTTTAATCTGTAATTGTGGTTTTGATGACAGAAACCAAAGTCTTTAATGTGTGGTGACTGTTGTTGTTAGGCAAAACTATTTTTAGTAAATGGCAAAAGTCAAAACTAAACCAGGCAAAAGTCAAAACTAGGAAAACTCTGGCAAAACTGGTAAAACTCTGGCAAAACGGCAAAACTCTGGCAAAACTTTGGCAAAATGGTGAAACTCTGGCAAAACACCTGATAAAGTTAAAATTCCTAAAGAAGGTCAAGCACTGCGAGGTTCAACTCCTAAGTTTTGGAAAGACTGAGTCACATTGGTGAATCAAAATATTTTGTGTGTGGTTATTAAGCACAGCATGTAATTCACATTATTTATTTCTTGCCTATATAGATAATATTTACTGAATTATATTCTTACAACAAAAGTTATCACAAATTCTTTTAACAGTTAAATCTTTTTTTAATATAGTTATTATTCAAATTAATTTTTCTAAGTCTCAAAATATGGATCTCATAGCTTAGCAGATAAGTTTTTATATCTCTACAGTCAAGATTAATAATTTAAGTTTGGCTAAAGGTAAAATTCAAAAGATTTTAGCTTTTGTAACTCAAAAGAAAACAATAATTAAACATGAAGTCTTGTGGACAAAGATCAAGTGCAGTACATAATCAGAATAGGAATTTTCAAAAGAAAATCAATTTTGCAGAATGTAGATGCTATATATAATAGCAGTGGCACAGAAGGTTCTGTTATATGAAGAATTACACAAATAAATCCTTTTGGAGATAGGACAGCATCAATATGTCTGTGTATTACAGATTACTTGATTAGAAGACTAATACCAAAAGATAACATGAACTAAAGTAATAAGCAATATGGTATATGCAAAGAAGATCTGTAACAAAAGATTGTCATTTCTAAATTAAAAGCACCTCTGATTTTGTAGAATATATAAAAATATAAGTTAACTATAAGTATAAAGAATATAGCTTATTCTGTATAATCTAAAGATATCAAACTAAAATTTTGATCATATTTATATAGAAGTTTATAACAAAATAAGTAAAACATATTAAAATAAATACTATATTAAATAAGATAGAAATATCTCAATTAAGAGTAGTAAAAATACTATGATGACCAATGACTAAAAAAAGTTAATCTGTAATTACTTAAACTAAAGTTTTGCTAAACTATAAAAAGAAGTACTTAAAAGATAGATTAGATATACAAATTATTAAAGATAGTACTAAGACCTAAAAGATTATAAACTAGTAGTAACAACAAAAATTTAGCTTAATATATATGCTACTAGTACTTAAATTAAAAAGTTAGCAATAACAACAAACCTTTAATTTGAAATATATGCTATAAAGTTACATTTTGGATATATCAAAAATGAAAACTTAAAAGAAATAAACAATCTAATAAACCAATTTGAAAATTATTAAAATAGGTTATAAGATATAAATAGAATATATAGGTTACCTAATATATAAGAAAATTGTAAAATAAGCTAGAATGAAAAAGAGTATTAAAACAACTAAAAGATGATAAAATATAAACAGAATATAGCACAGATATATTAGATCAAATAAGGAATACAATAGAAGAGATCATAATTAAAATAGCAAACAAGCAAATTTTAAAGAAAAAAATATTCAACACTAAGTTGAATAGAAAACAAGACCAAAAAAAAACAAAACAATATAAATATATTATTAAACTTTAATAAATAATTAAGAGAGCAAAAAATAAAAAGAATTAAAAAATAAAAAAAAGAAAGAAGTTAAAACAAATAACAAACTCAAAATTATAGAGAAAGAGTTAGGAATAATATTACTAAAATACATAGAAAATGGTCAAAAGCCTAAATAGATAACATTAAAGGTTGGAAAAAAATAATTAAAAAAAAAAAGAAGAAAGAAATAAGAACAGACACAAAGAAAACAAATAGAAAAAAACATAAACAGAAGATGTAAAATAATTAAAACAGATTAAGAACAAATGATTGTCAACTTACTAAATAAACTATACAAAAAAATTGTTCTAAACAAATTTATAATGCAAGCAAAGAAGAAGTTGACCTAATATTAAAGCCAAACACAGTCTTAAATAGTCTAACAACTTTTTTAAAAATTAATTTAAAAAAAAACTAAACTAGAAGAAATAACAAAAGAATAAAAAAAAAGTATATAATCTAAAAGAGTAAATTAATGAGGCCTAATATAAGAAATTAGAAAAAAAGATATAAAAAAAGAAATAAAAAGACATATTTAGAGAGCTCAAAGCAAATATAGCTTCAAAAATATCAGATATAAGCTATACATTAATAAAATATATAGAGAAGAAATTACAAAAAATTTTCAAAGTCTTCATAAATTTAATTCTAAAAAAGAAGATATATTAAAGAAATGAAAATAACACAAATATATCTGATCCCAAAAGATATAAACTGAAGCTACTATCTAAACAATATTAGACCAATAGTATTTATTAAAACTTTCAGAAAAGTCATTATGAAAATAGTAACAAAAAGACTAGCCAAAGTGTTTATAAAAAGAAATATACTCAAAAAGTCAAATTTTATAGATTTATTAAGCAACTCAACAGAGCATCTTATACATATATTAAATATAATAATAAAAAAGATACAAGAAAAAAACAAAAAAGTTTGAATACTATTACAAGATATAAAAAAGACATTTGATTCTGTTTTACTAAAAAGTCTAAAATGAGCTCTAAAAAGACTTAAAATACTACAAAAAACAAGAAAATATATAAGCAACCTCTTCTGTAAGCAGCAATTCAAAGCTATTATAGTCTATGGTTTAACAGAAGAATATAAAAAAATGAAGCATTAGACTATATAGTAGAACAAAAAATAACAGAAAGAATATACAGTGACAACATTACAAGACTTAGGCAAGTAACAATTGCATATGCAAATAACATAATATGGATTGTAAATAGTAAAGAACAGATAATAAAAATTCTAAATATTACAAAAAATTCTTTAAAGTGAATGACATTGAAATAAACAGATCCAAATCAAAGCTTATAGTAATGAATATAAAAACTAAGAAAGAAAAAAAATTACTTTTAACTATGATAAAATACTAAAAGAACTTAAAAATAAGATTGTAAGTTTATTAGAGATCTGGCTAAATAACAAAGTAAGAAAAACACTGGTCTGTAAGAAAGCAAAAGAAATAGTTAGTCAAACAATTAAAGATCTAGATACAAAAAAATAATGATAAACCAAATTATATATATAAACAATACAGTAATAATTCTTATAGCTAATAAAGATATCAGAAAAATGCTTAATAAAATATATTAACTATTAATATGCTTAGTTAAATATAAATACAATATAATAAAAATATTGAACAATTGCACAATTGAGTATAAAGACTTAGATAATTGCAAAATACTAATTCAAAAAATAATAATAAAACAAATAAGTAGTCTTTTTTTAAGACTCAATAAACAAACAGTCTGAGTTAATTAATAAGACTTAGAAAAACTTAAAAATGCCAAAATGCAGACCTAATAGAAGATATTTAAAATAATAAAAAAAAACCAGAAGTTATGAAGTTTTAGAAAAATAACTTAGTCTGTCAAACAATAGCTAAAGCAAAGAGATAAGAATAAGCATTAAAAAAAAAAATGTTTATAGAAAGTTTATAAATATAGTAGACAAATAAGAAATATGTTAGAACCAAAAATATAGATAGCAAACAGTAGTACAATAAATAAAAAGAGATTATTATATCTGAACTAGCTTATAGATATAAAAAGTAACAATTTGATTACATAGAAACAGTTTAAGAGTTTTTAAAAGCTGTTATATAAAAGAATAAAAGCCAAATAGTTTAGTAAAATAGAAAAAAAAATGCTAAGAACACAAGCAAGCAAAGAAATACAAAAATACTACAAATTAAATAACTACAATTCACAAGCATTAAAAATCAAGTAGACAAAGATATCAGAAGACTAAAGAAAAAAAAGAATAAATCATATATGAACTAAATACATTTAGCAATTCAGCAAAGTAATAAAGAAAAAAAAAATGCTAGCAAAGTATTGACTAATATATAAAGAAAAAGGAAAACATCTACAGAAATAATAAGTACATATAAAGATTATAAAAGTAGATCAAAACAGACAATAGACAAGTGTAAGAGATAGATAAGATAAGACTATAATATGAGAATAGTATTAAAGTTATTAATAAAAAAGAC